ATCATTTTTAAAGCTTTTTTGATTTTATAACATACGTGCCACGGGCAAGGCCGGGTTATACCCGCTAGTTTAATATAAATAACAAGTAAGTATTTATTTATTTGATCTATAGCTATGTGTTGAAGGAGGAGCGTGGCATTAGCTTTATAATGGAACATATCTGATCGATGTATCCTATTCCAGAAACTACATGTCGAATATGGTTACTCTAACTCTTAAAACCTAAGAGATTTGTTCAAAACACAATATCGATTTTTATCGATTGCTTGGATACGGAGCAAGTTGTCGATTATTGGATTATTATATAAATATTTCTTGATTTGCATCCAATTGATAACAAAAGCATTTTCAAAATTCGGCATATATAAGATAAATATACTTTAAGACTTTAAGTGGAATATCTTAAAAAAAAATACTGCCTTACTACTCTAGATTAAAATTTTGCATTTGCATTATATTGCATTATAAACATCTGAGTTACTTGGCAACTTGTGATCCGTTTTACAGGGTATATTCAGACGAACAGTTGCTAGCTAAAATAGTTTTACTGGCTTTTGTTGACTGTTGCTCGTGTTGACTTATTGCTAGCAGTTGGAAGTTAGTTGCATAGTTAGAGTGCTCCTTAGGGTAGAGCAAACAAACACACCCACACGCACACACACACACCTAAATTAATAACAATGATTATTATTGACTTTTCTGCCGCTCAAGTTTCTACTGTTGCTGCTCCAACTGCTGCTGCTTGCCGCAAACTCATCTGCATTGCAGGCTTTTCGCCTGTCAGCCACACAAACACACACACTCGCGCACTCGCACACTCACGCACAGCATCTAGTTGACAACTATAACTACACTTAACTAGAAGTCACTTTTAGACACTCTGAGCCCTGCCATGAAATGTGGCAAGCAGCAGCAGCCCTTGCCTCAACTACACGACAATCGCAATGATGAGGACAACTTTTGCGCACAACAGTGCAAGAGGGGAGCCTGATGGGTAAGGGGGGATAGTTGGGCGCAAGGGGCACGTTTGTTGCTGGAAAGCGTCGTAATTTGATTGAATTTGCGTTGATTAAGCGTATTTAGCTGTTGGCAAATTATGTTTGCATGTATACATGTACATATGTGTCTAATTGAGAATTGACTTAATTGTTTTTGCAGCGTAACGGCTAATTGCGATGAGCGTATCTCGTGTTTTCTTACACGTGACACGACTGGGACACGAGCGGGAACTTGTGTCTCCTAGACGTAGATAGGTTAGCTTGAATATTGTTCTTGATCAGCTAAAACGGGGGAGGGGGCGACAGAAAAGTACCTGTCAGTACTTTGTAGAATGTTTTTCCAAAAAAATGTGACTGTCTTCTGCATAGTGCAGTCACACAGTAATTTTGACTCTTCCTCGCATTCGTGTTAAAAAGCCGAACCTTCATCGTAATCAATCTTCGTCTTCGTCTTGACTGACCGTCTGATTGGGTTTGAAAAATAAAATGTTTCTGTTTTGATGCTGATGTTGATGATGCGTCGCACTTAGTCGACCAAAAATTTCTTTTCTCACCCGACACCCTAAAAAACTTATTTTTAAAAAACTTCTGTGTTTATTTTCCGATCTTTTTGCAATTTGCAGAGCTTAAGATATCACTCAAATGTATATGTACCCAGACTTTTCCTCTAAATTACTTGATTTCGTGGGCTCTGGAAGATTCTGAAGAATAATTTTGAACAATGTTGAATAAAATTAAGTATGACGTATTTTGAGTTTAGCCCATCTGCGATGAGAAGTCACTTCATTACATCCATCACAAGCGACTGTTTCTTCTTATCCTCATGGCAACCCGCAAGTACTCTTTATACTTATGTTTTGCAGTGACGCACAAGTTGACTGCACACTTGCGGGTTAGCGAATTCTGGGAAGGGGTTTATTTTGGTTTCGAATTAACGCAATTAGCAAGTGCACACACACACACACATGCGCGTAGACACCCTCTAACTTTATTAATGGGGCTTTGGAGGGTTGGGATTGAAAAGGGGGAATTACAGAGTGTTCTGATTGCAAACAGCGTTTTGCTGTTTTAATTGAAAATGTTGCGCATACGCCATGTAGTACATATTTTCGAGGACAATTTGTTGTTGACTGAAGTTTAACGCCCGCAAAATTGACACAAGGTCGCAAGCTCTTTAATCTCAACTGCGGCTGCTTTGCGGATTAGAACTCAGCGCCAGATTATGCAAATGTTAAATAATTATTGAAGCGATTTTCACCTGTTTTCACTTGAAAATTGTTGATTGAATTAAGTGATTAGCATAATGTTGAAACAGTTAATTCGTGTCGCAAACAGCAACAGGAAAGCAACATCAAATTTTTATGTTTTATTAATTTTAAAAAAAGTTTCTTTACTTTGCGATGAATTTAAATATATCTTTAGTTTATAGCAATTGGTCAAAATAAAAGGAATAGTACAGTTGTTGCAGAAGAAGGCGATTCTGATAAAATTTTCTTTCTTCGATAACGCACAACATCTCAAAATCTGCCCTATCTGTTTAATCTTTAACCGTCCCCCACATTTTTAAATGCAGTTTTCTTTATCTATTAATTAAATTTATTTAACAAAAAAAATATATTCAAAATGTTTAACAATATAAAAGTTATAAACAAAAAACAAAACAAAGGCACGTTTTTTGCTTCAATAAAGTCTTCGTACACTTAAACTAAAGTAATTAGAAGTATTCTTATAAGGCAAATAACTTAAAACTAATATTTGGTAGGCTATCCTCTATTCTTAATGACTGCCTTAAGCCGATTTGGCATGGACAAAACAAGTTCTTCGGTGTAGGATTGGTAGTATGTGAATTCCATCATAAATCTTGGTAAATTTAATAAGAATCGCTTTCTACATAAGAATATTATTGAAATCTACAATTATATTAATAATTGTAATATTTTAATAATTATTTTAATAATTTGTAATAAATTACAAATGCATGTTGTGGAGCTGGGCACACGGTATCTTCTAGTCTGACATCCTCGACGCGAGGACTGTTACTTGTTATTCCATTGAACTTAGTTTCAAATTTCATTCCCAACAGGGAGTTTAGGTTTTAAAATTCCGAGAAACAGTTCAATAAAATGCGTCGATTGTTTTGCAAATGACTAGGCGCCCTCAAGGTCTGAAGTATTATTGAGTTTTAAATAAAGAAAAAACAAAGAGAAATATTTTATTGCTCGTAATTGATTATGTCTAGTGGGTCAGGGGCGCTATTAGGCATAACAAAGAAATTCCTAGTAACGCAGCATATGGAGTATTTTAAAAATAAATACCGCACGGAGTTTGATAATTTGCGCACGCTTCTCGGTAAGAGAACACCAGCTTTTTTTCGGCATTATAAACTTGGAAGTAAAACTTTGCGTGGTTTGCGTATTTAGAATTTTGGTTACCCCATCGGTCAATTGGTTAATCAGTCAGATATTCATTCAGTCAATTAGTAAAATAATCTGTCGTTTAGTTAATCAATCAGTCAAGCTGTCACTTAGTCAGTTATCTATCTATTAATAAATACATATTGTACATATGTACATAATTCTCATAATAAGTCAGTCAGTTAGTAAAAAAAAATTAGTCAATCTGTCTAATCAATTCAATAGCTGATTCAGCCAGTAATTGTGGTCCATCAGTAAGGCAGTAATTCAGTTGGCCTGACTGTCCATTCATTCTTGGCAGTCGTTCAGTTGGTCAATCAATCAGTTATCAGTCCATTAACAAGTCGAATTTGTGTGTAAATTAGACAGTTAACCTACTGAACAGTAAGTCATGCAGCTAGTCAATCAATCAGCCATGTTCTCAATCAGTAAATCAGTCATTCAGTCAATCAGTCGGCTTAGGCAGTTAGTTAGTTAGCCAATCAGTCAGTCTTTCAGTCAGTTGTTTACTTAACCAATCAGTAAGCCTGCCAGTCATATGGGCATTTAGTTAGTTTGTCAATCAATCATTTTATCTATCGGAAAATCAGGCATTCCATTAGTCAATCAATCGGTCATTCAGTTTGTCAACCAGTCGGTTTTGTTAGTCAATTAGTCAGTCAACCATTCAGTAAATCATTCAGTAATTCAATCAATCAATCATTTGATCATTCTATAAGTCAGCTATTCAGTTTGTCACTCAAGCAGTCATTCAGTTGACCAGTTGGTTTATTTAGGCAACTAGCCAGTCAACATATCAGACTGACTGTCTATCGTTCAGTTAATCAATCAGTCAGTCATGTGGTCAATCACTACTTTAGTTCTTCACACATTTTGATGATAATTAAAAGGTTTCAAGATTAAAATAACTCTTCAAATTTGAGTTCGGAGTTATAGTTGGAAAGAGACAAATCAAGAAGGAGAGAGATAGAGATAGAGACAGAGAGAGACAGAGAGAGAGATTCTGTGAATATGGGGACAATATTGTCTTCGTATTTTTATTTGCCAATTGGGCCAACAATTGAGGCCATTGGCCACTTTATCTTCATATTGCGCGCACATACACCGCTGTCACATCAATCCATTAAAATCCACAGAATTGCATTTTGCGTCCAACTTTGCCACCACTTTTAGGGGCAATGCGTTGTTGCAAGTCATAAAGTTGTAAGCGTGCCGCACAGAAAAAAAAAAGAGTGTTCGGCAAGAATGGACACGTCAATGGCAGCAGCACATTAGCCATGGCATTAGCGCCAGCTGGCAGCAGCAGCCGGGGCAGACCCCAAGGCTTTCTCTTTGGCCATAAAACAGAGTCTACATTATGTTAATGGTCATGCTAATGGTAACTAGGCCGGGCCAGTGACCGCAACAGAGTGGGTTGGCGACACTTGATGGTCATTAAAATGTCCAGGGTAGCGTGAAGCTGAAGTAATTGCGATAGTTTATAAGTTATCAACAACTTGCAGCAGCTCAAAGCTACTGCCCCAGCTGCAGCTTAGCCCGGTCTTTGACACTTGCTGCCACTTATATTAAATTCCTATCCCTTTTGCAGGCGCAAGGACAGCAGCTCGTTGCAGCGCTCGGCCAGCATTGATTCCTTTGCGGAGATTGTGTTTAGCGACCTGCCACGCCCCACTCTGAGCATCCCATGCAATGTGGCAGCAGCAGCGGCAGCGCCCACACCCTTCAGCAAACGCCCCTCGGCCAGCAGCTTGTATTCGACGTGCAGCAGCATTGCCGCCGCAACGGCCGCCTCCGGGCAAGTGCACGCCCAGCTGAATGTCAATTATGGCGACCTGGCGACACATCCTCAGCCCGGCAATTGCAGCAGCAGCAGCAGCGCCGCCAACAGCCGTCGCGAGAGCATGCTGAGTCCGTCCTCAACGCGACGCAACAAGCTGACCAGAATCATTAATGGTAAGTGATGTGTGCGGGGCGAAGCGGGGATTTGCTATTTAGTGACAGCTTGAGAGGAGCGCGTGTTCAACCCGAGCACGCCAACAACACGCGCTCTACTCTAAATATAGTGCAGCAGCAACGTGACACGTGTGCCACATCGATAAAGCAGCCTTTGCAAAGTTGCCGCAGATCTTATTGGCAACGGGCGGAGAATCTCAGGAAGAGCAGCAGCAGCGGGCTCAACGGTTTATTTATTTTGCAGCAGCAGCAGCGGAGTCGGCTGCGGCGGCGGCCTGATTGAAATTCAAATGCGCACTTAAGCTCTCGCTCGGGCTCCTGACGCCGCATAAAAACGATGCCCCAGAGCTCTCAGCAGCTCACAGGGGCACAAGTGGGTGGCGGGGGGGTTCTTAAATGAATCAAAAGAAAATAAGAAATCAAAACGGGCAGCAGAATTCTGCACTCGACGAATGAAAAATACAAATCCCAAGAATTGTGTACTCATCAATTTCTTAGCTTACTTTAATTAAATGTAAGTCCCGAAATTTCAGAATATCCAACCAAGAAAAAACAGTTAAGAACATTTTATTTTATGCCTGCTTATTTTTTTATTCAGTTTTATTTTCACTTAATTTAAGGCTTATTTCTAAATCGTATAAAATTAACGGTCAATTTTGAAATCCAGTATTTTTTAGTGCTTTATTGAAAAATATTCAAGACGAAAAATTGTGAATTCAGAACCGTTTCCAGTAAAATTTAGAACTTGGGTTTTCTCTGAGTGTGCATATTTATGTTCATAAAACTTATCGTTATTTTATAAACCCCTCCCCCCCTGTGCCATATTCCATCCCCCTTACACACACTCTGCGATGATAACTAGTTTTCTTAGCTTATCAGCCACTTCCGTTGAAAAACTGTTTTGATTTCAATATATTATTTACATACATGTATGTTTTGAAGGCCAACACGGCCCCCATTGGAGCATAGCTTCGCTGCGATAACAAAATAATATAAATAATAGTAAAAGCTTAAGAGAAACGATCGTCGGCATTTTTTTAATCGCTGCACAGTTCCACGAAATGGCGACGCCGACGACAACACCAGCTGAGAGCGGCAACAGAGAAACGTCTAACTGTGAAGCGCTGACCATTAACGACGCTCAGTCGTCCAAGACGTTGACGCTCTGGCTCAGCTATTGACGTCGCCGTCGCTGTCGCTGCAACTTCAATTTCAGTTGACTAACGACTTTTGAAGTGAGCGCAGCGCGCGGCGCGTCGTCTGCGGGCAGAGTTACAATAACAACAAATAAGAAACGAAAATTTTAGCCAATTCAAGTTGTGCACAGTGAGAATATGACATAAATATAAAAACAATCTTTATAAAAGTTATACTTAAAATTAATTGAGCCACAGCTTAAAACTTTGTGACGTCGTTTGGCAAAAATAAAGGAAAGAAAAAGCAACGGCAAGCAATAAAAACGCGACGCCTTGCGTATTCGTTTCTGCTTCGTTGCGTTTGTGTGAGTGTTTCCAACTACCTGTTTGCGGCTGCGCATGTGTGTGTGAGAGGGAAAGAGAACAAGCAACAACTGAGTTACCTGCGTCGACGCCGACGCGTCAGAGAGTTTGCGCACAGTGTCATATAGAGAGTGTAAGCAACAAACTGAGAGAGTGAGCGAAATTTAACGAATGATCGTCGTGTTTTAGTTGTTGTGTCAAAAACTAAACGCGTCGCTTTCGTTTAAAAAAGAAACGCTGAGGCAACAACCTACAATGAAAACAAGAACAACAACAAACAGCAGCCGCAGGGAGGGTAACAGAAGTTGACTACTGACTGGGGCTGCCGCAGCTCTTCCCCACTGCGCTGTTGCTGATGTTGTTGCTACTGGCATTTGCTGCCGTTGCAATGTTAATTAAATATTACGTGCCAGAAAAAAACAGCAATTTACAGCAGCGAGACAGCACAAGCGGCAGCGTAGATCTAACTGTAATTGCATTGCGTGTCCAACTGTTGTTATTATTTGCACGCGCAGCTTGAATAAAATTTACAACAATTACAACTACAGCTGCAGCGAAAGTGAACTTTTGCTTTTTATTGTTTCTTTTCCATTGTGCGAGACATCAACTTGACTACAACAAATTTACTCACGTGTCTACCATGGCGACTCGCAGCAGCAGAAGCAGATCGAGTTGTGCCGAGTCGTTCAGACTTAGTTCGTTTGAACTCCGAGCTGGACGAGTTTAATTAACTTCAAAACAAAGAGAAATTAAAAATGCAAATAAACACAAAAATAGTTACAGGGCGGTATTAATAAATAACTGAACAAAAATTGAGTATAAATGAACGAAAGAAAGACAGTGAACGATATTTTCGCTCAATAAAATAAGAACTAGTGAACTGCTTCAATGAATTGAACCGGAAATTACAACTCTAGCGGCAGCACCAATGGAAGCATAATTACAGCAAGTCGCAGGGCAACTTATCCAGTTGCATCTCTTTCTCACACACAATACGCCGCCCGCAAGCTGCAAAAAGCTTTGCGCGTTGCTCACTTTGTTTTGTTGTTTTTTTGTTTGTGTTGTTGTTTTCGCAGCAGTTTTGTAGCCGTCGCGTCGTCGTTTTCATTAAAGTTGTTTGTGTTGCAATTTGCAGTGCGCCGCACAATGAACAGGTAAGCAAAAGCATAGCACACATTTACACACACATACCCACATTGATACTAAGTACTTTGTCTGCAACTTTGTGGTTAAAATATGCAACGCCATGAAAAACTTGAACTATTGCAGCATTTTTACGGTTTTACTGCAAGACACTTTTCCAGATGCGTTTTTCCAAAAGTTTATTCACATTTCCACAAAATCGCATCTGAATTGTGTTTGGTTGTTTGTACTTACCTTTACAGGTTTTCGTGTTTGTTTTTTTTTTTTATTTTTCTTTGTATTTTGCGGCTGCGACTGACAGCTAAAAATTGGCGGCCCCCGGCCACGCCCTCGGGTTCTCTGCTTGACGTTTGACCATTAATATAACCAAACTACGACTTGGCTCGTTTGCCAAAATGTGTCCAGAAACTTTCTAAACGAATACACAATATTTTATTTATACTCTGTAAGTACGCGAAAAAGGGTATATTACAATACCTCATGAATTCGTGCATTTAAAACTATGCTAGCAAGCATTATCCGTGCTTTGTTCGGGCATATCCCTTTATATACCACCACGTGTGTAAATGCGATTTGAAGCCAACTGAAACTAACCTAAACTAGGTATCCACAAGTCGTATACTCTCTCGGGTCAATCGCATTCTGATATTCTATTTATTTTCATTTTATTCATTTTGTTTCGTTTTTGAGAAATAGAAAATTGAGGCAAAAGTTTGATGCAGCTTAAAGCTTTGCCTGCCGTCGTCTCAAACGTTACCCAACCACCCCACCCCCTTCACGTATTACCAAGTGACCTGCATTTAAGTGCACTTAGACCCTTCGACCCGAATACACGCACAGTCTAAAGCTTCGTTCGCTTCTTTGTTTTTCTCAGTTTAATTTTATTTTGTTTATTAAAAAGTTTTAAATGTTTGATTAAAAAGAAATTCATTACAAATTTTCTTTGCTGCTTATTACCTCAAAAGTAGCTTTAGGTTATTTTTCGTTGTTGTTGTTGTTGTCGTTATTTTTTGTTTTCGTGGTAAAGCAACTTTTGTTGAATCTGAAAAACTTGTTAGTTTCTTGCTGATAAGGAAAACTTTTGGCTCAAATTCGATACGATAACGTAACGTAACATGCTTGTCATTCGGATTGAAAATTGTCTATGTATTTGTTCTTTTTTTTCTTTTGCTTTAGATACTATGCAATGCCTGCCGATAAGGAACGGTACACATAGAGAAAAAGAAATCAAGAATTCTGTGCTAAAATCAAGTAGAAACTTTGTCAAAGGGTCAACTCAAGAGTTAAAAGAAAAACTTACTCTTTAAAGAAGGATATTTCTGCTTCCACTTCTTCAACATTATTGAGATTTCATTTCTTATGTCATGTTTTATATGTCTTTGACGAAGTTTAATAATAAAAGTAAGAAGAGTTGCTTTATTTAAAGTATTCTCAGTCTTTAACCAACTATAGAAATAGTTTCAACTATTTAGTTGTAAGTTAACTTTCTACGTTTAGACAGCTTGGTTTCTTGAATCAAGCAAAGATACATATTTAACCAAGGTGTTTAATACTTAGAGTTAGAACTAAAAATTTTATTTCAAATTTTTCCGTTCCAGATGCAAGTGCAAAAGGTGAATCGTCCCCAACTTAAGAAGTTTCTTTAAAGATTTTTCTTTTTCTCTATTTATGTATTCTACGGCTAATTGTGTATTAACCAGAATTCGGATATATTTTAACTCAAGATTTTAAGCATCTAAAGTAACAACTATATTTAATATTCAATGTATTTTCGTACCAGATTAAAGTTAAAATAACACAAACAAAGTTAACTTTAAATGTGCAAAACATACCTATAAAAGGTAAATGAAAAGAATTTCTGAAAATGTATGAATTCTGGGGCATATGCAAGACTGAATTGCACCGGAAAAGGTCTTTGAGCCTTGAGATTTTCAGGGAAATGCTTGCCGTGTAGATTGTTTGGTTCAATAGAGGAGAAATTACTGCGTAACTAAGAATTATTTCACACTAAACGTAGTTGTATCTAACGGCTTCTGCTTTTAGCAACTTTTTGCATAATAAAGTTTTCAACTGACGGATATGCAATTAGCTTCATTTTGTACGGATCTGTTTGAGCCAGGGACAGTAGCCAAGGTGTTCAAGATGTTCATTATGGCCACAATTTGATTCCAGGAAATTCTCCTCTCTTCTATTTAAAGCTATTTAAAGCCGAATGCATCGAAACATCGATTATTTGCTGTTCTGGTATTTTTTAATCAAGCATCGAGTCATGCAAATTGTGTAAGGGAAAACCCAGGCGTTGCTCTTTGAATGACCTTTGGCTTCGACTAGGGTTACCTCATTTTATAGCTGTGCTTG